ACATTTCTTTTCACACAATGCGTCTCCTTGCAGTATCAACACTAATTCGGCTGACTTTTATATTTGATCCAATTGGTAGATAGGCTGTATTTACACCATAAAGGTGCACAGCTGATAGAAAGGGACACCTGGTGGTCAAAGCACGTTATTGAATTGTATTATTATTAGATATTAATAGGATCTCTATAAAGTATATTCATTACTTGTTATTCTCTACTAATAGTTAATTAAAGACTGTATATAATGACTATTTTGCACATCCCTTTTCAAGATTTCAACTATGGTGTAGTTCTGCATTGAATGAAAAACTTGGGTCGCAGGTTCCTCAATAGTGCATTACAAGACATCTATCAATATTTGTGCATACCTCCAGCAATGTTAACTATGTTGAAGCACTTATTTTAACTGATATTATACATATGTATTATACTCTTATAAGATGTATGTAGATATTTCATCTCCGACCTTGTCAGGTATTGAACAATCAATCAATAAAGAACACAGAATTGTTAAATATAAAACACAGAATTTGTGTGATTATACTAAATGATTTACAAATAAACACCACTGCATATTTACAACTGTTACACATGCTGATGTAACGCAAATGTTCCAACTTGGGATCAATAAAGTATATCTTATCTTAAGCTGATCGATGGCTACTGCCATATTTGCAAAATTTGCCTCTGAACCTTGACAAGTGCATGTTTCAGGCTTATCAATTAATGTAATGTAATGTAATGTTATCAATTAACAACAGGGGTCACAAACATAAGACCAGCTGTTAAATAAAGCTTTTCTGACCTTAGCTGGCATGTGTGTATTAATGCTGCCCATTATGGGCACAAGCAATTTTCACCAATTTATTAATTATATGTTTTAAATTTGAGTGTTTCCTATCCCCTAAATGTACACAGTTTAATACTGGCAACTTCTTATTATGGGAAATACTAAAACGTCTTTTAAAACTACAACTCCCAGTAGAGACGTGCCATAGATAGAGAACATGTTGCGAAACAGAATAGCCAGCATGTGTAGTTCTGGGGACGGGGTGGGGGAGGGGGGACGCGGTGGACCCGTTCAAATCCAGTTTTGGACAGTCTGCCGTGGTTCCATCCCATTTCAAGTGCTGTTCGAGAATCGGCCTAACCCTCGGAGCACACTCTCCAATCACAGAGCTTGAGGACTATCACGAGGTTTGTCAAACAGAGCACATGGTGTAGTCCAAACGATAGCTGGGGATTCTGGGTAGTGTAGTGTCTTCTGCCATCCTTTACTCAGAAAAATATTTGTTTCTCCGAATCGAAGGGGAAAAATACAAAAGCATTGCACACAATTTAAACCAATCAATGTTGTGTAATTAACAAGGATAATCTGGTGTTTTTTAGTCGATGAGTAGTGCAGATATCACTGTAAAATCAATCGACAGTAAGAGGAATACTTACTTCCGGGTGTACAATTCTCTGTTATCCAATGGGAATGGACGCTCACATTGCCTTTAAGGGCAGCCGACACAAACGAATGCCGTGCTTCCATGAGCGTCAAATCCCGCCGCAGATGGGAATACATTGCAATCAGTTGAAAGCTATTTGCGTCCCTTTATGACGCTGAAGGAGCCTAGGAGCGTCACAACTGGACGCCACGGACACTGACCAAACGTCGCTCCTGGACGCTTAGGGAGTGAGTGTGTTGTACAGAGAGCGCTCAATAGGGCAGCCTCTGTCGGCACAGCGCCTGTCACACGGGCTGTGTGAGGCCCCACTGGCTCCGCGAATAGCTGAAGAAAAGCTGTTTGTGTGGGAGCAGGTTGTAGGGACTACTTCCCATTTATACGGAAGTGAGTCCGTAGGTGGGGCCCACATCATAGGAGGGCATGGATTAAGTCTGTCAGTGCTGCACACGTGCAGAGGGATTACCCAATAGCGATAGACTTAGAGGGCTGCGCCTATACTCATAAAAGCTGGGTTACAGTACGTAACCCCAGGTGTGGAGTCAATTCCACACAAAAACAGAAACAACCTGTTTGGCAAGAAATGAACAAACAATAGAAGTTTAAAGCAAACTTATTATTTAATCAAGTCAAAAAAGTCATAAAGCACTTAACAGAGTGAATGTATTTCAGCTGAAAGGACAGAGTCTTGCACCAGTAGATAGTACCAAGATCTGACAACATACAAACACTGTATACACTACAGAAGGAGGGAAGAGGAAGGTCCTCAGCAAGTGAATGTACAGATGGTTGAAACTTGCATACAGCTATGCAATATACGTTACAGGAAAACATTTGGCCAGACGGTGGATACTTGCATGTTCATTACAAACCAATGGTTGTAGAGATAGCCCTTTGTCTGTTCTAAGGAAGGGAGAATTAGAGGCTAGATGTAGGATGTAGGTGTTACGGTGTGCAGGAAGCAGGACCCAAATGCAGATTTAAGTGACAAAATAATTCCTTTATTTCAAGGCTACAATATTGAGACAGAACAGAACACTCACCGCAGTTTACTCACAACACAAGACGAACCGACACTGAACACAGGAAGAGACAAGACTAAATACAGGAAGGGGTAATCACAAGACGAGACACAGCCGGGCAGGGGAGGAGAAACACAAGGGCCACAGGTGAAAACAATCAGACAACTAGACACACCAGGGAAACTAACGACGGGAGGAAAAACACAGGAAGAAGGACCAGACAATATACAAGGATGAAAATACCCATAACCAGACATACAAAACTACAACACAGACAGATCCTAACAGTAGGACTCTTGTTTCTGGAGGCGAGTGAAAGCCTCCTCTGTCATTCACAGTCAATCAGCTGACAATTCACTGGACACGGACAGAGACACAGAGTGGTAAACATTTCAGAACATCCGCCCCTGGCAACAAAGGCTCACTGTTTTCTAAATGCTAAATGCCTTTGCTTGCGCACACACACACACACACACGAGATTGGTGAATGTGCATGTTGCCATCCCAGCTGAAAGATATTTCTTAACCAGACGGCACTCAGAGAACGCAGACATTCGCCACCGCCGTTTCCATTAGTGACAAATAATTGGTGTGTTTGCTCCATGATTCAGATGCATTCTACAATATAATGGTGGAGGTTATGAATGATTTCTGACTCTGAATTCTTGAGCGCTACTGTTTCAGTCAGGAAGGATTCCAGGATTCAGAGGTTTGAACAAACAGCAGCATTGGCAGAGATAAGGAGCTCCAAATACAGCTGGATCAGCTGCTGGAGCTTCCAGCTGGGTGTCGCACATCATATCTCTATTCTTTCCTCAGAAAGTAATTCAACTGATCAGTCATTTTTAGGCCGTTCCTTTTTGCTACATAGTGCAGGCTTCATGTTTGTCCTTCAAAATGTCCTCTTCAGTTATGAGACATGTTCTCTCCTGTCTCCTGTCCTTCAAAAGAGAATCTAATCAGAGCAGCACACCTGCTGTAGCTACTGCCACATGTCTTTAAATGACTATTATTCATTAATGAAAGGTCTAATATACCATAACTTCCATTCAATACTGCAGCTCCCTTACCTAATATAAATCATTTGAATGTAACCCCCTTTAAGAGCTAAGTTCGAGTTAACTTGTCTTTAGTGCTTTTGCCTTAGTGAAGTGTGTGAGTATCCAGTCTATTTAAATAGATGGCATTAAAGGTAGGGTAGGTAATTTTGGAGAAACCAGCACGAGATCGCTAGAATTTGAAAATACACAACCGGAAGAAATCTGCCTCTTCCTCACAGAGCCCCTCCTCCAACACACACGAACGCGCACATGACCAATGTGGGCACGAGATAAGTTTGTGCACAGATGGAAGGCAAAAATGATTGGTCGTGCTTTTTACAGTATTACGGCTTCCACAGATGACATTTTTCTATGGATTTTTTGTCAAAGCACTTCAGATATTCATTGCTATCGGGATGTAAAGAGCATTCCATGGAATATAACAAAAAGTGTATCTGAAGTGAATTACATACCCCACCTTTAAGTGCTCTGATATCCAGCACTGCAAAGAACATCTTTTAGTCCAAATATGCCATTGAATCTTTGAAACCCTCAGAATGAAAGTGTCTGCTTACTGTTTTAAGTTGTTCATCATACCAATAGCTTCACGGGACTACAAGCTGCTGAGTCGGCTGAAGTACAGCAGAGGAGAGGATATGGCAATGCATTTCATAATGCACATGGTTGGCATGACAATGACGCTCCATCTGGCTCTGCACCTCTAATGAAATGACTATACTTTAGTACAGTATGGTAACTATGCACCAGTGGTCACAAACTGTACTTTATGATGGATAGATGCTCGCAGGAGGAGGAGGAATGCAAACAGTAAGAGGATGTTGGAAGCTGGCTAGCTGAATTGTGGTGCAGCGCATTCTGCCAGATACAGTATACAACCTGCTTTCAACCTGCTTTCAAATGTATATCTGTCGTGAATATAGAGTTATAGTAGTGTCTGTTTTACATTTGTCATCTCACTCAAGAGAAGAACCGAACTGACTTGAGGGATTTGTAAAATCGTTCTGGACCCTGGGAATTTAATATTGAGAAAACAGTATTTGTTAATGGAGATGGATATCTTTATCTGAATGCTGGAAGAACTCACACACACCACACACATATACACACACACACACACACACACACACACACACACAAGCTCAGTTTTTCAGCTAAAGTTAGATAGCTATTACTACACCCCCCTGCTGCCTAAATGTGTCACTTGGCTGAATATTGATTAGTAATACCTCTTTTGGCAGATGTATCAGTGTGTATCAGTGTGGATCAGTGTGTGCGTTAATATCACTTTGGTTTTCTAAGTCTGCTTGAAATGTATTGCTGTCATTTGCCCCATTGAAAATGACAGCACACGGCCCCCCTCTGAGCTCTAACTAGACCTGCTGCATGGTGTTCTTTTATAATCTGGAGGTCCAATGTGTGACTGACCCTCTCTCTCTCTCTGTCTCCATGTCTCTCGCCCTGTGGCAGGCCGGCTGCTAAGGCGTCCTCAGATCAGGGCAGTGACCAGAAGGAGCGTCCCATGAGCACCATGAGCGAGGCCTCCAACTACACGGGGGGGTCCGACTACAGCACCTTCCCTGGCAGCCCGCCCACCCACGCCCCCAGCACCACCCTCAGCTCCACCTCGTCCACACGGGTCGGTCTCCATCAGGTCTTAGAGCTCTGCTGAGCAGTTTTACCAAAGCTCTCCATCATGGCTAATGTAATATTACATTAGTCAAGCATCATCAGCAGACAAAGAGGGGTTATTAAAGAGGACAGCTTTTGTTTGTTGCATTAACATATTTCTCTTTAGAAAGCTGTCACTAAAGAACATGGGAAACATTTCCTCAGACACATCAGCATAGCTAGCTCACTGGAACAATGAGAAGACAACTTTGATACTCAGCATGAAAGACCGCTCTGCTAACATATGATTATGCTAAATAAGGAACTGTTTTTCTACATTCTTAGCCTACTTGTAAGAGAAGGGATGATTAAAAGGGAATGTTTCAGTGATTCTAAGCAACATTAGACTGCTGTGCCCCCCTCTCTTTCAGGGAATAGAGCGGGAGTATAGAGTAGGCTAACCCAGCTGTGTTAGCAGCTAGCAGATCATCTACACGGGGCACTGCGCTCAGATTACAGCCTGTCCCTTCATAAATGCCGAGTCAGACTAACAGATAAACAGAACATTAACATGCTTGGGTAGATCGCAGCAGAGATTCTGCGGTCCCATGAATAAGTGATGCTTATACAAGGTTTCCCTTCTGCTCACACTGGCCAAAAGAAGAAGTTTCTCTGTGAGATCTTCCAGTTGTTGAATAGTTAAAATGTTTAAACATGGTGACTTTAACTAAAGCATAGGACAGGATGTGGATTGACCCTTCCCTTACCATTTAAAGTCAGTTTGCTGTTATGTAACAGATATTACAAATGTGCCTCAAAGGTATTTACATACAGGAGGCCTGACCTCTATTTTTAGACCACCCAGTTAAGTGGCCTTACCTGAGCCAACACTGTGCTACACTCTGTCTCTAGTGCTAAAGTCATGAGAAAAAACTGCCTCCAATAAATCACCACCAAACACTTTCCCAATGTCACACTAATGAATACAAACATTATCTGTCAACATCTGGTCAATAGCTATAATGGTAATGTGATACTGTTCGTTTTCAATTTAGACTTAATCAAAGAACCCCTTGTATTTGTCTTCCATTGTCTGAGTTAAAGAGAGTTGTGCTGCATGTCTTAGTAAGTGAGCCTTGCTGTGTGTAATGAGCTGAGCACATCTGCCCTGCTGATGCTGTTCACAGCAGAGAGTCAGTTGTTCAACAGAGCAGTCAGAGAAGATGATATTCTGGATTATTTTCTCTATCTCTGGAGTTCTCTGCAATGTTCTTACTGTAGGAGATGCAAGATGGAGAATTAGATTTAGAAGTTTCTTTTGTACAGCTCAATATACAGAATATGTACACACTCTCTACATGTATTACCCATTCATGTGTTTCAACAGCCCTCTAGGTCTTCCAAAAAAATCCACAACTTTGGAAAGAGGTCAAACTCCATCAAGAGGAACCCCAACGTCCCTGGGATGAAGAGCAGCTGGCTTTACAAACAGGTGGAGCTTTTCTTTCAACATTATTGGATGTGTTTGACTCTTTGTTGGACTGTGCTGACAGAGAGAAGACAGGGGGGGGGACGGGGGCGGGGGCAGCCAGTATAATGCAAGGTGCACACTGAACATACAGGACATGAATCACTGAGAACATGTAAGAAACATTTGAAGAAATACACTTCACTTCATTTACTATTACTATATTGCCTTTTTTTCTTGGAACTCTATTATTCATTCAGGCCATCCTTTGCCGACCAAAAGTTTCATTAATCGTTTTATAATATATGTGTTCTTATACTATTTTTTAAATGTGTGTTTTAACTCCTATTAATCTTTTCCCCATTAGTAGTGCTGTAATACTTGATACTTTTGAACTGTGTGTTTTTGCCGGTGTACACACCACACAGCTGCTGGTTTCCATTCGTTTAACGGAAGAATAAAACCCAGTTTCATGGGATCTGAAACACACTTGCAATGTGTTACAAGCGACAAAGAGATTTGAAACAGTACTGTAAAGAAAATATATAATATAACATAGTATTCATTTCTTTAAAGGGGACCTATCATGCAAAATGCACTTTTTGATGTCTTTATACATAAATATGTGTCCCCGGTGTCAGGAGACTCACAAAGTGTCAGAAAACAAAACCCTCTCTCTTTTCCTCCATACCCAAATCCCTAAAAACGGGGGAACAACCTATGACGTCATATCGGATGGTGGACCCACGGCCCTATCAGAAACGTTGCTATCAGAAACAATGCCTGACGTGTTTTGGACGTAATATGGTCTTTATTTACATTCGCAAGCATCGCTAACACTCAGAGCTAACCTGTACTGGAGAGAGTATGTGTAAAGAAGCAGGATATAAAAAGGAACTCACCTTGTGGTAAACCTGAGAGAGAGAAAGCACTTGAGCTCCATACTGTTTCAGAAATAATCCGTGATGTGGTTTTGAACATGATGCGGCGTGTCATCACCGCAGCATTTAGACAGTATCTGCCGGGTCCCGCATGAGCAGGCATAAGCTCCGCCCCCTCTTTTTTTTCCAATTTCTTTTTTTTGTTTAAAGCTTTATACCCCGAATCAGCACTTTAGTAACAGGGCTGAAACGGAGGGTGATCTGTTTGGTATTTTGAGCAAAACACTTCATAGACATGTTTTTTATATATTTGTATGCATCTGAGACCTATGCTATTGCCTAAAAATAGCATGATGGTGACCTTTAAGATTATGCATGTTTTTGTTGTGTCCGTTTTGGTTGGTTTAAACTCTGAACAGAAGTCCATGAAAGAATGGTTGAGAAAACAAAGAAACAAATCTAAAAACCATGGCCGCTCAGATTGCTTAACATGAATGTAAAATGTATGAATCGGTGGTGCGCACTGGCCCACTTTGAGATCCTCTTTTTAATTAATTAACAGAAAATACAGTTTTACAACTTTCATCTTCAACTAAAGTCAGTGACATCCTCCTGTTCCCTGGATATGTTATGTGGTTCGGTGACAGCCAGTGACAGCCAATTTAACTGTACTAAGTTTAATATCATACTTCACTAACCAGCTACCAAGCTAAATATGTTAACCAAACAGTTGTACAAGAGTAAGTGGAGCTGAGTGGAACCATGCAGCATAAATAATCCCTGCTTCAGGTTGAAGGAAAGTAAATGACATGGCAGACTGTAGTATGAGTTGGTCCTGGGATGGCAGACTGTACTATGAGTTGGTCCTGGGATGGCAGACTGTAGTATGAGTTGGTCCTGGGATGGCAGACTGTAGTATGAGTTGGTCCTGGGATGGCAGACTGTAGTATGAGTTGGTCCTGGGATGGCAGACTGTACTATGAGTTGGTCCTGGGATGGCGGACTGTAGTATGAGTTGGTCCTGGGATGGCAGACTGTAGTATGAGTTGGTCCTGGGATGACAGCAGTTGGAGTCCTTGTCATTAACATCTGGCCCCTGAGCTGCTGCTCACTGTGCTCACATTCAGACCAAAATCAATTGACCTCACAGCAACACGGCTCTCTCCTCCACACAGACCTGTCAGCCAAAGTGCCCCCCCCCCCCGCAGAAGAAATGTCATCAGTGTTTACCCACAGCTCCTTACCTGAGGGTCTGTGGCCCAATGCGTCACTTTGCTAACAGTGAAGGCTAGAAAAATATGGTATTGTCACTGCAGTCATTACGGCACCAGGGGGGGGGAAAAAGAACACCACACAGGTGGACCTGTCAGTACGTTATGAACAGATAAAACAGAGCCATTAGTCTCAGCGGGGGGAGAGCTGGGTAATAGAGAAATAGAAGCAGCCAGAGGGAGAGACAGGGGGACTGTGTGTGTGTGTGTGTGTGTGTGTGTGTGTGTGTGTGTGTGTGTGTGTGTGTGTGTGTGTGTGTGTGTGTGTGTGTGCGTGTGAGAGAGAGGCTGGCTGTCTTCATGACTTCTCTGTGACCTCTGACCCCTGCAGGACAGCACCGGCATGAAGCTGTGGAAGAAGAGGTGGTTCGTTCTGTGTGACATGTGCCTCTTCTACTACCGCGGTGAGGACACACACACACACACACACAAACACAAACACACACACAAATGCACACATACGCGTGTGATGAAGGCTCTCAATTTAAATGGGTTCATTGTCAAATCCAAAGCAAATTGTCCATGTTTTGTTTGAGTGTAATTTAACAAGGCACATATATTTAGAGGATCATACAACTCAAGATAACATGATAAACTAAGAGAAAATAGAGAATAAATAGGTAGGAAAACTTCATTAATTCAGATTAAGGATTAACTGTCTGTATTCAAACTGACAGATGGGATCCGCCCCAGTTGTTTGGTCCGTTCATATGCTGCAGTCATCACTTCCTGCATGTGCTTCACAGTAATACATCGTTATGCAAACCTTGAGAATTATCAGTGGCATTTAGGGATGGGTGTCGAGAAACGGTTCTAAATTCTTACTGAACTGCTCAGTACTGAAATACCGATAAGCAGCTGGACAAACGGAGCTGCTCACACATGTAACACAACATGTGTGTTACATTACAGTTCTGAATGTTGGGCTTCATCTCTCTTAATGCTCTGAACCATTCTGTGATACTGACAGAGCAGACCAGCAACCTGAAACCATTGCATGAAACCTGAAACAGTGCAGCGTGTTGGCCTGCTTTAACAAAGTGGCTGCTAATGTTAGCGTGACACAGTGCAGCGTCCCGTTTCCGACAAGGAAAAATAAGGCAGAAACAGACAGAGGAGATTAACAGAGCTTTCCTACAGAGGAGTGCAATTCCTTTAGATTTTTTCGGTAGCCAATAGTGACAAATAACTGTTATTGAATCCTGTTAAATCTAATATCTTCATTTTAACACCAAATAATTGGGAGTAAATGGCCTCTGATTAAGGATTTGTTTCAAGTTAATGTTAGTGCTCTGCGACATCTTGTGGAAAAATGCTGTTCATCCCTCCTGCACACCTTATGCACACAGATGGAGAGAGAGCAACAACTTGTGATCACATGGTCACACTTGCTGTTTGTTTTCATTGTCACCAAAACATTATTTAAACCAGCAAAACCTGTTTTAAATAAGTAAATTTTTCAAATATACAAATAACACAAAATAGTTGACATAATTCCTTTTATGAAGGATTGAATAATGATTAAATACACATCGGCTGATCAAATATCTGCTATGCATAATTCTGAATGACCTCCCATTAAGATTCTTCCATAAACAGGGAGGTTGAATGGGTGCTGTTAATCGTGCTCCCACCCTTGAAGAGGTTTGGTGAACATTCTGCTGGTGGTGTGGCAGCATATGTCATGTCCAGCCCTCTAAATGCTGTGTGTATCTGTGGATCAGCAGCAGTGGATCAGGGGTCAGCAGGTTAAGTGTCATTGCCAGTTCAAATTAGTCGACTTTGCTCACTTTTGCAAATCCAAAGCTGCAGAACCACTTATTTAGAACTTTACATTTACAAAAGCTCCTATTTTCCTCTGCTGAGTCTCCTACACCCTTGAGAGAGATTTTCCCATCTCCATAAATTGACTAATTAGCCGCAATCAGCTGCTGCTTGCATGACAAACCCAAGGGAAAATGGGATGTTTATTGGCTTAGCCAGGCAGAGCTGAGAGGAGAGGCGTCCTCGGGAAGGACAATGACCAACTCGGCTTTTCCATTATAAGTCCCTTTCTTTCTCCTGCTTGCTCTATCAGGTTCTTCTAACTATCTCCTGTCACTCAGGTTGGGCCATGTTTGCAGAATTAAGAGATGTTTTACCCAATTGTTTTTTTATGAGCAGGGCAAAAAAGACAGAACTTTAGATCAAAGACGAATAAAAAGTGCATTAACATGTCACGTCATTTAAATGTGTCCAACTTGATCTGCTGTGGCTCAGGAGGAAGAGCGAGTCATCTTCTCATCAAGACTCCACATGTGGAGGTGTCCAACACACTGCTCCAGATGTGCTGGCCAGCGCTTTGTTTGGTACCCTGGCTGCTGTGTGAATGAGTACATTCAAAAGCACTGTCCATTAAGGAATCAAAACTGCATATAAATGTAGAACATTTATTAGAGATACTTTGTGAGCCCTCAAATGCAAATCAGTTTGAATGTGGTTTTCCTGTTAATGTCTCGTTTCAAACCATGTTGTTTGTTATACAGGACAAGAGTTACATAAGATGTGCAATCATTACATTTTACAGCTGGTTTTTGTTATGTACATAAAAGAGTTATAACAATACAATACAACAAAACTGTAAGAAGACAAGATAAAGTGGGACGGACATCACATTAAGAGGATTTGTAAAGGCAAAATGGTATATGGAATTTATTATCTGTCTTTTGATGGCAAAAAGAAAAACGTAATCTGGTAATCTGGCTGTTAGGAACTGTAATTGATAATAATTACCAATTTTTATAACTTTTTTTAAATCAAAGTATTTTGAAAGTTCCTCAAACCTAAGAGAACCTTACCTGGCGTTCTCCCACACAGTGGATACCTACATCTCTCTGCATGGCAGCCCACTCCCTCTCTTTCTCGGCTGTTTCCTGTGTGTGTTCTGAACAGTCTCAATAATTCAGCAGCCCTGCAGGTTCTCCCAGCAGCAGAGTGTGTGTGTCTGCATTGTGCTTCAGTGTGAGCCTGGGAGCTCACATCACAGTACGCAGAGGCCATTGCACAACCACATCATTACCATCCCGACAGAATGTGTGTGTGTGTGTGTGTGTGTGTGTGTGTGTGTGTGTGTGTGTGTGTGTGTGTGTGTGTGTGTGTGTGTGTGTGTCTCACCATTTTTGTATATTAACAATAGCTAAAGTTGTAGCTGAGCAGGTTCTAGGAGGTGAAATCCAACCACTGGTTGCTTCTGGTGAATTGTCACAAAGCTGATATTTTTATAAAGCCAAGCTACCATTAATAGTGATGTCAATCTTTACTTGACCAAATTTATTTTTAATAATCAAAATAATAGTCATACCTAATAACTAGCTATTTTCTTTGTATTCAAAGTCACTTTCACAAACAAATATGCAGGAGAAAGACACGTGTATATTGAATAAGCACGTTTTCTAGAGCTGGGTCTTGAGGGCTTGTTTGACGGATGGTAGGCTGGTTGACTGTCTGTCTGTTGACCTGTAATGGTCATCTAGTGTCATCTCTAGGTGGACTGAAAGATAACAAACATATCGACCTCAGAACTCTGCTTATTCAGCTCCACTGGTATATCTAAGAAACCCCACGCTCTGATTGGCTATTGATTTGATCTTTGATTTACCGGTCCAACACCTTACTTATTCTACAGCCTTGGTTCTGGTAAATCCTTATTGAGTGTATGTCTGCAGTTAGTTTAGTGTAGGTTAATGCAGCTTTAAATGCAAATGTTCTCTGATTTGTTGACAAGCTTCTATTCTTCTTTTTTCTCTGGTGCAGATGACAAAGAGGATAGCATTCTGGGAAGTATCCTGCTGCCAAGCTTCCACGTGTCCATGTTGTCGGTGGATGATCACATCAGCAGAAAATACGCCTTCAAGGTAAAACACGAGACGCTGCAGCCAAACAGGGTTAATCAGTGGTGGTGATGATGATGATGATGATGATGATGATGTTTTTAATCTCAATGTGACTTCCTAGTTAAGTGAAGGCAATATCTGATATATAAATGTTTGTTTCCATAATCAAGGTTTACTTCTGGTTTTCAGGAACCTTTACTACAGATATTGTTTTAGAGGGAGAGTTCTTGCAGTTTGGAAATCGATGTATGTGTTGTTGTTTTTTGTGAGATGAGAGGACAGGAGTTGATCAGTGCTAAACAGAGACTTGGACTGAGCAGATGGTACGCCAAAGAGACTTGTAGCAGGGAGTCAGCTCTTACGGCTTTGAAAGTGAAAGAAATACATATATACAGACCTGGGGTGTGTTGTCCGGCCAGGGGGGAAAACCCAAAGTCCATACCGCCACACTGAATGGTGGAGGGAAAAGCCAACCTGTAACGATAGGCTAGGCACATTGTTGTTTAACATGGGGATGGAATGCCTTTTCAGACAATCATAGTGATGCATTTAGTTGTTCAGATAAAAAGTCATGGCACACTTTACAAAATGTTTCTTTAAGGTGGAAATAACCAACAACCTCCCTAGTTATAAAGGAAATCCTAAGAGTAAGGATTTGGAGTCCCTGTTCAGGCCTCGTCAATACACACACACACACAGCACACACACAGCACACACACACAGCACACACGCAGAACACACACAGCACACACACACAGCACCATCTCCTCTCTGTGCAGTCTACCTCTGCCAGATAACACACAGGAGTCTTGTGTTGAAAGGTGCTATATAAATAAACTTGCCTTGCCATGCCCTAAGACTCTCACACTAAAGGCCCTGACACACCAAGCCGATTTCGGCCGTCGATAGATGTCTGGCCGTCGATGAGCGTCCTGTCGCCCTACTCAGATCGGTGTGTCCAGCACCGTCGTGTCTTTTCGGCCGTGACGACACCTTCCGCTGCCGATTCACCTTGTTGAGTCGGGAGGCTGTCGGCAAAAGAAATCACCCTGATTGGCTGTTCAGCTTAGCGAATCAGTGCATGAGAAGCGAAATGGAAGTGAAGAAGGCACACACAGACGGCTATTATTTTTCATTTTCCAGTACCGCACTAAACATGTTTTTGATTATAAGTCGTTATGTGAAACGGTCTGTGATGGACGAGAGTGAAAATGGAACGCACGCTATTTGTTGTTTGTATCACGCAGTCTGTTTTCCGGTTGTTGCCCCTTTTAAATGACGAATACACACTACCGCCGCCTGCTGGTAAGGAGAGTTATTGCCACTCACGCATGCGCAGTGCGTACGTGCTATTTGGCCGTGTGTGTTCCAGTGTGACTTTTTGGCCAAGACGTAGGAGACATGAGGCGACACAACAATTGGGTCCGTCGGGACGTGTTCTTTGGTGTCAACTTGATGTGTCAGGGCCTTTAAGCAGATATACACATAAAGAAACAGACTACTCACACGCACACACATATATACAGTCACACACTCACCTATACACACACACTCCTCAACAGGAATAATTTAGACTGGTTGCTGGCATCTCAAGGTCACCTCACACTGTTTCATCTCATCCCCTCTGTGTTCTCGGTCTATCTGTGTCTGCTCTATTTATCTCACTCTCACTGTCGATATTCCCCCCACCCCCACCCTGCCAGGCCACTCACCCCAACATGCGGACGTATTATTTCTGCACTGACACAGCCAAAGAGATGGAGTCGTGGATGAAAGTCATGACGGATGCTGCGCTGGTCCACAGTGAACCCGTCAGAAGGTGGGTCCTCCTCACACAGGGACATCCCACAGACAGATGTCATAGTTGTGAAATGATATCTGACACAGAGTATTTTCTGCTGATTAGAGCGCTGTGCTGTAATATTCATGAAGTGTGTTATCATATCTCTAGAGTCCTCCTAAATGCCTCTAAAAGGGCCTACTTAAGAGTTTCATGAAGACTGGAGACAGGGTTCCAACTAGGAGAAAGGCAAGGTTGAACTTGTTGTCATGGTGATATCGTGATTCTTAAAGGAGCATTTTTATATTTACAGTAAGAAGTAAACGTTGCTGATTTTCAACCAGCGTGTTCCCCTTTAATCAGATCCAATGAGCAACAGAAACATCATTTAAAAAGGGAAAATAACTGAAGCTCATATTTTGTAACATTGTACAAAACTTAATTTTTCGGCTAAATATCTTACTGAGAGAAAAGCTCTCAAGCGTAAAGTCTAGGATGTGTTCATGAAATTATTCCAAAGCAATCACTCAGATTTCTTTACCGTCACTAACCCAACGCCCAGTGGAACCTGACTGTCGAGACCGGCACTGTCACTGAGTTCCAACAGAGATCAGAGGAGAAAGACAGGAAGTGAGACAGAGACTGAGGGTCTGTCAGACACTGAAGTCTGACATCTCTTGGAAAACGTTACTGTCTGTCACTCTTTGTCACATTCATCTCTCTCTTTGCTACCAGGCTGGACAAGCTGAAAGTAGATCAGCGAGCCCCTCAGGAGTTGAACAACCTTCTCAACCACAGAGTCCTGACCCGGCCTGAGATCCAGAACAACGAGCGGAACCGCGAGCCTGTGAGACAACACTCTCTATCTCAAGCAGACGACAAACGCCAAAAAGACCTAGAGAAACACAACGGCCAGAGGGAGTACTACACCTTACAGAGAGAAGGAGAGAGGTACTCTCTGAAGAAAGACGGTATGAGCTACATGCTCGAGAAAGACGGAGAGAGGTATTTCCTCCAGAAGGATGGAGAGAAGTACATGCTGCGCAAAGACGGGGAGAAATTCTTGTTGCAGAAAGATGGAGAGGTGTGTGCAATCCACAAAGACATGGAGAAGTATGCTGTTCAAAACATGGATGGAAGGTGCACTGTGAAGGAGGTGAAATACGCTCCGTGTGAAGATGCAGAGAAGTACCTGCTCACCAAGGAGAGAGAAAAATACGCACTGCAAAAACTAGGCGACCGACACACACTCCAGAAAGATGGACATAAATATGTTCCCCAGAAGGAAGTTAGGAGACAGCTGTCCTTAAAGGAGACAGGGAGGTACGGCATGATGAGGGAGATGGAGAACAAATATGGCACCATACAAGTTGTGGACAAATACGGCACCCTGAAAGAAGTGAAGAAATACAGTACACTGCGAGAGGGGGATAGATATGCTACTCTGAGAGATGCGGGGAAGTATGCTACGGTGCGTGGGGGGGATAGGTATGGCTTCCAGAGAGACCCCAGTGCAGAGAGGGCTAAGACTCAGCTCAGCAGCCTCCAGCTGCAGCCGGCCCAGGCGGCCGCCATCGCAGCGGCCGTGTCCGCGTCCCGCCAGAGCCACGCCCACCTCAGTGTCCACGGCCCCCCACAGCCCAACGGCCCGGGGCCCGCAGCGATGGGGCATTCTGGGGACTGCAGCCCCTCAGAGGGGGACAGCAGCCTGGCCATGGCTCCAGGAACGTCCCCTGTTCCAGTCCAGGAACCGGAGCGGGGCCTGTCCAGAACCAACTCCATGCAGCAGCTGGAACACTGGGTCCGCACGCAGAAGACCAGAGGACTGGACGAAGACACCAGGAGGTGAGTGGGTCCTAATTACTCTGTTATATTTTAAACCATTTGCTTTTTTGCAAAGTCTTCTGTGTACTTTCTCTTTCAAAACATGTTCAATGTCTCTATGTTCTGTGTCTTCAAATGTAACCCCAGCTATCAGAACACAGGATTAGAACAGGCCAGTTAACCATCTTTGTCCCTTTGTTTGTGTTATGTTCTGTTTGAGAGGCCAGGTTATTTGATCAGTCAGCACTGAGTGCTTTCAACAACCATTGTAAGTAAACATTACATTACATTGCATTTAGCTGACGCTTTTATCCAAAGCGACTTACAATAAGTGCGTTCGACCAACAAAATACAAACTTGAAGAAAACAGAATCATATAAGTACATCAGGTTTCATAGAGCAAAAACATTTCAAGTGCTACTCAACTGGCTTTAGATAAGCCAGTCCTTTATTAGTATATAAGTGCTTTGTTAGTAATTGTATTGCTCGAAGTGGAGTCGAAAGAGATGAGTTTTCAGTCTGCGCCGGAAGATGTGCAAGCTTTCTGCTGTCCTAAAGTCAATGGGGAGCTCATTCCACCATTTTGGAGCCAGGATAGCAAACCCACGTGTTTTTGCTGATGGGAACTTGGGTCCCCCTCGCAGTGCGGGTGCAGCGAGCTGTTTGGCTGATGCAGAGTGGAGTGCACGTGCTGGGGTGTACGGTTTAACCATGTCCTGGATGTAGGAAGGGCCAGATCCATTCGCAGCATGGTACGCAAGTACCAGTGTCTTGAAGTGGATTCTAGCAGTTACCGGAAGCCAGTGAAGGGAGCGGAGGAGCGGAGTGGTGTGGGAGAATTTAGGAAGGTTGAAGACCAGACGAGCAGCTGCATTCTGGATGAGCTGCAGAGGTCGGATGGCACATGCAGGTAGACCAGCCAGGAGGGAGTTGCAGTAGTCTAGGCGTGAGATGACAAGAGTCTGGACTAGAACCTGCGTCGCTTTCTGGGTCAGCCGGGGACGTATCTTCCTGATGTTGTAAAGCGTGTATCTGCAGCAGCGGGTTGTAGCAGCTATATTTGCAGTGAAGGACAGGTTGTTATCTAGGATCACACCCAGATTCCTTGCAGTCTGAGTCGGGGAAACAATAGAGGTGCCGATGTTGATTGTTAGGTCAAGCGTGGGACAATCTTTTCCCGGAAGGAAAAGCAGTTCAGTCTTGTCAAGGTTGAGCTTGAGGTGATGAGCAGACATCCACTGAGAGATGTCAGCTAGACAAGCAGAGATGCGTGCGACGACCTGGGTCTCTGAGCAGGGAAAGGACAGAATTAATTGGGTGTCGTCAGCGTAGCAGTGGTATGAAAAACCATGCGGGCTAATGACAGATCCGAGCCAGTTTGTGTACAAGGAGAAGAGGAGGGGACCAAGAACAGAGCCCTGAGGGACCCCTGTAGTTAATTGACAACGGTCGGACTCCGACCCTCTCCAACAGGGGCGGACTGGGACTAAAATTCAGCCCTGGAAACTGACCCAGTACGGCCACATGAAATGTCAAATGTTAGAAATCCGCTGTTTATTATTTAAAGTTTTATGTCCGATTCGCTCCTTTTTTCCTCTCTGTACACAGCTCCAGTTTGGGCATTGGCCTGTCATCAGATTTCATTTTTAGTTGCTGCTGTAGCGGAAGTTTAGTACAATTATGTTTGATGAAATACTCCAAATCTCCACCCTCCATAATTGCACTTGCTTCAGCTACTTGCTACTTTTTAAGGGCGGTGATGACAGTTACAGTACGAACTGAAGTTGATGCGATTTTATTGGATTGTGAGGCATGACGTGAGCCTCATCTGATTGGTCAATCCCTCAATCTTTTTTCACCAAGGGAAGCCAATTTCGGCTAGCCTCCTCTCGCAACAGAGTGCAATCTACTGTTTCACCATAACATCTAGAGGGGCGCTGTTTCACTCTTTGTAAAATACTCAATGAGAATGGGGGAGAGATGGGCCGGCAGAATAATTACCGAAACTAAACTAAGTGTTTTTATTTATTTATTAAAATTATAACTACAATCCAAAATTCAGGGGAAGCCTGGCTTCCCTTGGCCTCCAGGAGAAAATGCCACTGAGTTCAAGGGATAATTCTCACCCACCTCTTGCTCTTGCCCTGCACTTGTATGTGGCAGTTGAGCTGGTTCTTCCAGCAGCTCAACTCTGTCCCTCATCATGAACGCAGGAGGCTGGCTGTATATCTGAACTTGTGCCCTCATCATTCTCTTCATCGTCTTGCACTTGTTCTAAGCTGCTGCTGATAGTGCTTGTAGGCTAGCAGCGCTGCTGCCAAAAAGGTCTGTCAATTTACAACATTTATATGCTTCACCTGCGAGTGACTTCACCTTTTTTTCTCTTGCCTTCTCGGCCCCACCTTTTTCTTTTCGTTTTCTTTGATTTGTATCCATGTTTTTTCATTCTCCCTGTCTGCCGCGGCGTCTAATCCCTTCTCTTCGTGTGGCCGGACTTTTTTCTTCTTCGTGTGTTATTGACAGATACGAACCACACAACTGCATTAGCGGCCGCTGTCGCCCTCTGTCGGCCGTCAGCGCAACTTAAATGATGAGGTTAAATTATTTTTTTTTAAAAGGGCCGGCCGGCCGTCAATGGCCCTTGACGACCGGCCGTTCTGTGGTTCTCTAGATTCTACAGATGGCTCCAAGTAACCCTGTACATTACATTACATTACATTGCATTTAGCTGACGCTTTTATCCAAAGCGACTTACAATAAGTACATTCGACCAGGAAGACACAACCTTGAAGAAAACAGAATCATATAAGTACATCAGGTTTCATAGAGCCAAACATTTCAAGTGCTACTCAACTGGCTTTAGGTAAGCCAGTCCTTTATTAGTATAAAAGTGCTTCGTTAATAGTTCTAACGCTCGAAGTGGAGTCGAAAGAGATGAGTTTTCAGTTTGCGCCGGAAGATGTGCAAGCTATCTGCCGTCCTGATGTCAATGGGGAGCTCATTCCACCATCTTGGAGCCAGGACAGCAAACCCTCGTGTTTTCGCCGATGGGAACTTGGGTCCCCCTCGCAGCGAGGTACGCAAGTACCAGTGTCTTGAAGTGGATTCTAGCAGTTACCGGAAGCCAGTGAAGGGAGCGGAGGAGCGGAGTGGTGTGGGAGAATTTAGGAAGGTTGAAGACCAGACGAGCCGCTGCATTCTGGATGAGCTGCAGAGGTCGGATGGCACATGCAGGCAGACCAGCCAGGAGGGAGTTGCAGTAGTCTAGGCGTGAGATGACGAGAGCCTGGACCAGAACCTGAGTCGCTTTCTGAGTCAGCTGGGGACGTATCTTCCTGATGTTGTAAAGCGTGTATCTGCAGCAACGGGTTGTAGCAGCGATGTTTGCAGTGAAGGACAGTTTGTTATCTAGGGTCACACCCAGATTCCTTGCAGTCTGAGTCGGGGAAACAACTGAGGTGCCGATGTTGATTGTTAGGTCAAGAGTGGGACAATCATTTCCCGGGAGGAAGAGCAGCTCAGTCTTGTCAAGGTTGAGCTTGAGGTGGTGAGCAGACATCCACTGAGAGATGTCAGCTAGACAAGCAGAGATGCGTGCGACGACCTGGGTCTCTGAGCGGGGAAAGGACAGAATTAATTGGGTGTCGTCAGCGTAGCAGTGGTAAGAAAAACCATGCGGGCTAATGACTGATCCGAGCAAATTTGTGTACAGGGAGAAGAGGAGGGGACCAAGAACAGAGCCCTGAGGGACCCCCGTAGTTAATTGACAAGGGTCGGACTCAGACCCTCTCCAAGTCACCCTGTAGGTACGGTCTTTCAGGTATGAGGTGAGGAGGGAAAGTGCAGAGCCTGAAACTCCAAGTTTTTGGAGAGTGCGAAGGAGGATCTGATGATTCACCGTGTCGAATGCAGCAGACAGGTCCAAAAGGATGATGACAGAGGAGAGGGATGCAGTTTTGGCAGTGTGCAGTTCCTCCGTGACAGCAATGAGAGCAGTTTCTGTGGAGTGACCTGCCTTGAAACCAGACTGGTGCGGATCCAGAAGGTTGATTGAGATAACAGGAGAGTTGTTTAAAGACAGCGCGTTCAAGTGATTTAGACAGGAACGGGAGGAGAGAGACAGGCCTGTAGTTTATAACATCAGACGGGTTGAGAGTGGGTTTCTTTAGGAGAGGGTTTACTCTTGCCTCCTTGAGACTGTTTGGAAAGTGACCAGAAGTTAGAGAAGTGTTGATGAAATGGGTGAGAAACGGTAGAATATCAGGAGCGATAGTCTGACGGAGGTTTGAAGGGATAGGGTCCAGAGGACAGGTGGTAGGGCGGGCAGAGGTAATGAGGGTAAGAACCTCACTTGGAGAGAGAGGGGAAAAGGAGGTTAGTGTGTTGGTGGAAGGAGGGTCTGGTGACCCAGCGGTGAGTAAAGATGAGTCAGAAAAAGAAGAGCGAATATCATCAACCTTTTTTTCAAAGTGGTTAACAAAGTCGCTTGACAGAAGTGAGGAGGGGGGAGGAGCTTTTGGAGGGTCCAAAAGGGTGGAGAAGATGGAAAATAGTTTTTTAGGATTGGAATAGGAAGATTGGATCTTATCTTGAAAGAAAGTGCTTTTTGCCTGAGAGATCGAAGCAGAGAAAGAGGAGAGGAGAGCTTGATAGGTTAGGAGGTCGTCACGGTGTTTGGATTTCCACCATTTCCGCTCTGCTGCCCTAAGGACGGTTCTATTAGCACGCAGTGCATCATTTAGCCAGGGAGCAGGAGGGGACTGACGAGCCTGCCGAGATGTGAGAGGACAGAGCGAGTCCAGAGTGGATGAGAGAGTAGAGAGGAGAGTTTCTGCAGCAGAGTTTGGAGGCAGGAGTTGGAACGAATCAGAGGAAGGGAGGGCTGAGAGCACCGACGAGGCAAAGGTAGAGGGGGAGAGGGAGCGAAGGTTACGGCGTACAAGTGTAGGATGGGAATTGATTAGTTTGTTATGTTTGGAAAGGGATAGAGAGAATGAAATGAAGAAGTGATCGGATGTGTG